ATTAAGTCACACACATAAGGAAAATGTGATCAGACCAACTCGTACCTTCTATAATACAGGACCCTGATGTTCTTTCTCTTTTCACATGTTGCTCTGCTTCCCACCCCCAAACCTGCTTAAGGCATAGCATCTGTCAGGTAGGTCTTCCTGGATATGCATCTCGCCAGAGTTCAATTACCAGGACTAACTCTCTCTTGGATACAGTTCAGTCTCTTCTCTACCACCTGAAGTCATATTCCTTTAAGTGCTTCCCACCTCGACTCTCTACATCTATCTCTTTATTCTCTGATGCATGAGATTTGAGTAATTCTGTTGCAAAAGATCGTAACCCTGTGGGAAGCTGAGAACAGAGAAAAAAAACAAAACAAAACAAAAAACTCCTTTCCCTCCTTGCTGCCCTCTAGTAAGGAAACAGAAAGAAAAAGAATCTCCTCTCTAGATGTGAATTTTTCCTCCATAATTGATTACCCTTTAGACCACTAGAAATTACTTTACACAAAACTTTCTTACCTCAACTGTGTCTAGTCACAGGAGTCAAGGGGAAAGCCTAGCTTTTCAAAGGCCACCTGGAATGTAGCCAACCTCCAGCCAGTTAATATGCCCTTCCAATTACTTCAGGGGAATTTCTTCAGACTTTGTAAAGGGATAACAGGACATAAACTTGTCTTTATACTCCATTTTACACATTAATATCTTGGTTCTTCTATTAATCTACCCCTTGCTTTTTATAATTGTATCAACTGGGCTTCATCCCTATATATACCTATATACACGTTGCATTATCCTTAATATAATATAAGCCTATTAAGGACAGTGATCCTTCCTCTTCCCTTTCTTTCTTCTTCTTCCTTTACTAACTTCCTGTTTCCTTCCTTCCTCCCTCTCTGTTTTCCTTCCTTCCTTTGTTCTCTCTCTCTCTCTCTCTCTCTCTCTCTCTCTCTCTCTCTCTCTCTCTCTCTCCCTCTCCCTCTCCCCTCTTTCTCTATCTCTTTGTTTTTCTCCTCTCTGTCTTTCTATGTCTGTCTGTCTGTCTGTCTCTTCCATGTGACCCTGTGGGTCAAGTCACTTAACTTCCCTCTCAACCTCAGTTACCTCATCTGCAGAATGGGAATAACAACAGCACCTTCTCTGAGAGATGTTTTGAGGATCAAATGAGATACATTTTGTAAAGTGCTTTTAAAAATCTTTAATCACGATGTAAATGCTAGCTCTTACTATTATGGCAGCTGGCTAGTGCAATGCATGAGGAGCACTTAGAGTTCCAAAGACTCAAAAGTCTTACATCCTGCCTCAGAAACTTACTAGCTGTGTGACTCTGGGAAAATCACTTTATCTCTCTCAGTTTCAGTTTCCTCATCTATAAAATGGAATAACAGTATAATTCTATGAAATAAAATGGGCATTATAATAGCACTTCCCTCCCAAGGTTATTGTCAGGATCCAGGGGATTTTCATGAAGTGCTAAATAAATACAAGCTCTTATTAACTTGGACCATGAGCCATGTCCCAAATGCTGAACTACTGCCCTGTGGGCAGTTTTCTGCTACTACAGAAATTGCTATGATTATTTTGGTGTATCTGAGACTTTTGATTTGGTCATCTATCACAATGGGGCCTATGCCTAGCATATCTTGATCAGATGGTGGGGATCATTTCAAAAGGCTTGGACCACTTCAAAGCTTCCCCAAAGATTCTTTACTTTGTCCATCTTTCCAAAGCCACTTTACCATCCCAACATTAACTCTTCTGTCTTTTGTTATCTTTGCCAATTGTTTGCTGTGAGGTGAAACCTGAATTACTTTGAGTTACATTTCTCTCCTTGTAAATTATTTGAAATAATTTTCATAATGCTGTTAATGTCTGTAATTCTTTAAAGAACAGATTTGTTTTATATCTTATGAATGTACCTGTTGTGGAATGTGTCCTTTTCCTACATATTTGTATTCGTTCCTTGTGTATGCTTGATCCATTTTTTTCAAAGGGATTTATAACACAACAATTTCAATCTTCTCCACATATCATGTTCTTTTTACTTAATTTAAGAAGGTCTTAGTATTTGAATCTAAAGATGTGAAAAAAAACTTTATGGTCTAATTTAAAATTTATATAATTAAAAAAACCTAACATTTGCCTGTCTCTGAATTTTTTGCTTCTAAACTTACTGTTATCTCAGACTTTAGTTTATAATAAAGTAGAAAACAAAAGTTCGATGCATGGTGTATTCCCCACCTCCCACCCCACACCCACATCTTCTAGGTGGGAGATAGGAGGGGAGAGGAAGGGAGCTATCTCAGGTTTTATTCTTTGTAAAATGTCTCCTCCCTGATTCAGTCTCGATCAGAGCAGTCAGTTCTGTCTTTTGACCCTCCAACATCAAACAGCCCAAACAATCTGTTTTATCAGTCTTGATTATGTATAACTACTTAAGTTGGCAGAGGAGGCTTATAAAATCTCCACATTCAGACAAATAAGCAATTATTTTAAAAACATACATGACCATTAAAGTGGAGATTTGCTTGGATTGATTTTCCCCCTCTAAACTATATTTGTTTGTATAGACAAGAACCATGCAGAGGAAAGAGCCCCGAGTTCAAAATCAGGAGATCAGAACTGAAATGCTGGCTCTGCCACTTACTTCCAGCACAGCCCTGGACAAACTAATAAACCTTTTGGCCTTCATTTCCCCATTTGTAAAATGAAAGCAGTTAGATGGCACAGTAGACAGAGCACAAGGTCTGAAGTCAGGAAGACCTGGGGTCAAATCTGGCTTCAGGTACTGACTGTGTGACCCTGGGCAAGTCACTTAACCCTGTTTGCCTCAGTTTCCTTATCTGCAAAGTAAGCTGGAGAAGGAAATGGCAAACCACTCCAGTATCTTTGCCAAGAAAATCCCAAATAGGGTCATGAGGAGTTGGACCTGACTGAAAAGGACTGAAGAACAGCAACAAAACAAGGTCATGGAACTAGATTCCTTCAGACTCCAAAGCTGGCATTACATCAGACCACTGATAATAATTCTACTGATGAATGAGTGCCCAGCACCTTGGGCTTTATGAAGCATTTCAGTGCCTCACAAGCCTGGGGAGGAAGTGGTTTCCTCATTAGACAGACATGGAAGCAGTGGCTCCGGGGAAGAACTGGGTCACCCTGGTTCACCCTGGGTCATCGAGGCAGAGATGGGATCAGAACACAAGTGTTTGGGCCACATCCCACCCCCCCAAGGTGATAGTGCCTGCCCTCAATGAGCTTCCATTCCAACAGAATTCGGATGGTGCTTCCTTTAGAAAGGCTTTGGTTCTTCTCTGATGCCAGTAGCAGAATGAAAGACTAAACATGTGGTTTCACTGACACTGGGAGGAGGCTGCTGCTGCCTCTGCCCTCCGCTCCTGCCCAGCAGCCTGGCCAACCATCTCTGAGATCAGGCCATAGGGGGCTGCCCATTACCACCCTCCTTCCATCCAATGTGAAGATCCACTGGATTAAACCTGAAGAGGAGTTACCAGGTCTCCCTAGGACAAGAGATGCCCACAAAGTGTTTAGTTCAAATAAATGGAACCTGAAATGTGAAGAGAAGGCATCATTGATCCTGACAGCAAATGAGGATGGTTAAGGTAGCAGTCAGGAGGACAAAGTCACTGAGCCAAGACAGCATGAAGGCTTCCCAATTCACTGCTGCTCCGATTGGGTTGGGATGTAGTCAGAGATGATGATGATGATGATGATGATGATAACAACAATAATAATAGTTTTACATATTATCTCATCTGCTCCTCACAACAATCACACTTTCTGCTATTTTCAGTTTCCTCATTTTATTTTTACCTATTTTGAGTATTATATTTTATCAGAATAATTATTTTTATATTATGCCAATTTGAAAAAAAAAGCTTAAGCATAATTTCGTTACATCTTGTCATGATTTTCCCCCCCAAAAAAAGTCATAAATGTGTAATTTTTGAATGGATATAATTTGGGAATTGGATTCCAGAGAATTTTTTTAAAATCACTTTCTATGTCTTTGTCCATGAACTTATTTGTTCCATACATAGTCCAGACTAACAGGTAGATTTCACAATCATAATCATCCATATGACATGCCCCTCAGCCTTGTTTCCTACCAAAAGATCTTAGAACTGAAATTCACTGGCATTTTTGTGGCTGTTTTATCCTTCTCCACACAATTAGACAAAGATGAGTTAGGACAACTTTGCTCAAAAGGAAATGTATCAAAATATTCCATTGTTCCACCTTGCCTTGCTTCCTTGATCATGCCGGGGAGCCAAGACCCAGAAATATTTCTCTACCCACTGATAGGATGGCACTATGTAAAGGTAACCAACCAAACATTTCCATCCAGTGTCCAACTCAATATATAATAGATATTGAATAGCCTTGTTATGATTTATCTTGTCACTGCTTCATATTGGTGTCTCCTATGTTCCTGTTATCAATAATAGACTTTGATTCCATGCATTTTCATACCAAACTGTATCTGAAAAATAGTTTTGTTACGTATTATTCCTGAAAGGTTGCTTTGATGGCTTAAGCCTTCCAGGGAGGAGATGTTTGAACACCTAGTATCACCATTAGCATTTCCTTGCTAAAAGCTTGGGAAAATACCCCAGCATGGACAGCCAAATTCAATTCTGCTTTGTGCAAGTCATTGGGTTCCAGTGGCTCATTTCAAGATTTCTTTAACCACTGGTTGGACAAAGTATCTCATCTTACTAGAAAAACACCCAGAAAATAATTGTGTCATTATAGCAAACTAAGGATGAATGTATTCAAATTTTAGAATCTTTTTTTTGTTGTTGACACTTTATTTAGGCAGAGCTTACCCAGTAACTAATTGCATAAATTCCCCATTTCATGCAATACTTTAATCCAATCCAATGGACTTTTGTAGTAAGTTTTACACTCTAAGAAAAGAACCAAGCAACCATCTTATGTCTTAGAAAAAAAAAGTGCCTGGGCTGATGCACTGGGAAGAGTCGGGATCACTGCCCTGTTGTTACCTAGTACTTACTAAGGGGAGAGATATTGAAAAATATCCCAAAATGACAATGTAACCAAATGCTTCCATAGAGTGTAGGCACAGCAGGAAAGAAAAAAGGAAGTGTTACGCAGCACCTTTGCAGGAAGGGCAGACAAGTGACACCATGGGAGGTGATGTATGGAAGGAAGACTCCACATATAAAATTAGATGCTCTGTGCATGGCTCGCTTGCTGTCCTGGGGTCTCTTGGAAGAAGGAAGAAGCCCTGCATTGGGAATCCATGGCATAGCATCCAGCTGGCCATTGCCGTCACACACATCACTTATTTGCCTGGCTGTTAGCCTTCTCATGTGTAAAATAAGAATAATTCCCAGGCTTCAAATTCTAGGGCTCTCTCTTTTTTTTTTTCAGGGACAAATTTGTGGCTCTTTAAGAGAATGCCTTTTTCACGCAATGGCATGGGTTCTGTTCTCATAATTGTTTTGAGAGTTACCCTTCTTCATGGCTCCCAACCTGCCTTTAAGCCATGTATAAGGAGGCAACAACCACCCACTGAAGACATCCGCAGGCTTCATGTCTCCGGGATGGCACGACAGCATTACCCATCATCACCTTCCATGTGGGAGGAGCCAAAGTCAGGAAGAAATTCAAAACGCCACAGCCTTGCAGAAATCAGCTGCCAGGTTTATTAATCTACCCAAAAACAAAACCAAACCGAAGTGGAATAAAAACAAAACTTTAAATAAATCTTTAGGTACATTTTTTTTCAAAAGAGTTGAAAGTTCAATGAAATATAATATATATCTCTCTATATTTTTTTCCTTCTTTTGCTGGGAAATGACTTAACATTGGACTGGCTTCTTGTTTCATTCAGTGAGTCACTACCTTATACAGCATAACATATATTTTTATCCTTAAATATTAATCACATAATGAATGCAGATACTGTGTTTGATCCCCTCGTGCTCCAGGTTCGAGCTGCTCTCTACACTGACATAAAGAGGCCCAACTAGCCAGGAATGCTCCAGGCAACAGACTTTTCCATGAAGCCCTTCCAAGTGGATTTCTTTTGTCGATCCAAATTTCCATCCCAACAAAATGTATACTGAGTCTTCTTTCTTTATTTTATTTTAAGTGAAGTTAATGGCCACAAGAGCTCAGGGTAGGAGGGACAAAAAAAATATACATATATATATATATATATATATATATATATATATATATATATAAAACTAATTTTCAAGATATCCCCATTAGCCCAGTATTCCAATTCACGTGCACATAAGAACACATGCCTATAATATGTTACTTATAGGATTGAATGTCCATTGTACAGAGTATGGGTCTCATTTATTGTATCTGGGTTCTCCATCACTGCTATATTTGGAGCTTTAAATGGCCACCCAGAGTGGAGATGTGTGGGAAAGAATTCATGTCCCTCTGCTCTTCAGGGAGACTCCTTGGTATCACTCTGGTGGTGCAATCAGAAACATTCTTCTAAGAGTTGGTTACCAAGGATCAACTGGCTTCCTCAGAAGTACCCTGCTTTCCAATCTGCCCAAATCCCCCAAATCTCATGTTCTTTCTTTGAACTGAGAAAGGGAACTTGGAGAAAGGTGATCATAAATAGTAAAATGCAACATTTCTGATATCTCTTTTTTTTTCAACACAAGTGGAATAAACATCCAGCTTTCGTGATTCTCCCAAAAGGAAAAAAAAAGAAAAAAAAGGACAAAGAAAGGAAAAAGAAAAACCAACACCCCAAAACTTTAAATCTTCTTCCAAACCCATTTCATTGCGCATCCAAGACAAGGTGATGGATAACATCACTGCCAGCACCACCACGTCATACCGTGACTTCCTTGTATTCTTGGACAATCTGTTAATGAGTCCCCATTCCATCGAAAGTGACCAAAGTCCCCGCAGAGCATCCCTCAGCAAGCTGAAGCTCGTGATTCATTTGTGGATGCACAGAAAGCTGCCGAGAGTCCAGCTATGGAGTAAGCTATTTTCTAAGCAATAAATGTTTCAAGTCATCTATTTTGTCCTGAAATGCTACCTGTAGTTAATGGCATTGCTTATCAATGGTCGTTGTCAATTCAGCCTCAAAGAGAACATGACAGAAAAGGCAGCAGCAGAAGCGTTAGCGTTACCTAGTGTTTATATATGTCATCAACGTAACACAGCAGAAAAAGGCTTAAATGCATATTCATGGGTACCGTATCTAAAAATTACTAAAGTACCTAGTTAGTGTATTGGATAGTCTTTTCTCAAGGAGTGCACACCGCATCTATAACAGCGGAAGTAGATATGTGACTGGGTACAGTTAATTCTTATTGGCTAAATAACTTTTCTCTGTACTGTAGGAAAAAGACAATAAACAAACCTTCTCTCCCCAAGCCCTGCCAACATCCCAGCCTTGACAGTGTTTTGAGCATCAGAGAGTCCCCCGTCCTCATTTCACTGTGATGGGCTTCCCCGCACCTAATAGATCCGATGGGCTGTGTCCAAACACATGCATTCTGTTATTAAGTAGTCTGTGGCTCTGTCAGGGAGCCAGAGTCAGGAATGGGCTGTGCTGGACATATTCAGCTTCTGGGAAAATTCCCCACTTTATAGATTTTCTGGGAGCCAGGTGCAAAAACAAAGTCAAAAAGAGAGAGGATGCTCATGGCAGTATTTAAATATATCTTGAAAAGGAGGAGGTACAAAACCAGCCACGCCCAGCAAGCTAACCCAGCCATGTACAAAGGGAGCTTCTCCCTGACACCTGCAGATTCGTAGACATGACAAGACAAATGCTCAAGGCATTTTCATTCCTCTGCCAAGATTCTCTCAGTGGTTATTCATACAACGAGAATTAACTGTACTGTGGATACCCAGAGAAAATGTACATTATCTTATGTTGATATGAAACAAAACAGACGTGATATAGCTTCATTGTACTTCAAACCTGTATGACCCCTTCCCACACCTACGTAAAAAGTAATCCCCACCCCCACCCCCACCTTCTTCCTGTTACACCAAATCATTGTTTAGATTCCTCCCCTCCCCCACCTCTAGTAAAGTGCTCTGTCCATGGCAGACCATAGGATGATGCAACAGGAAAAACCCGTGTGTGTGTGTGTGTGTGTGTGTGTGTGTGTGTGTGTGTGTGTGTGTGTGTGTGACTATTCTTTAAAAAAACAGAATGAAGTGTTTTCCTCTTTTCTTCTCCATGTTTCGTGAAAGAGGAAAAGGCCTGGGAGGGGCCCATCTCCCAGCCACGCTGTCCTGGTAGCTAGTATACATAGCCTTCATTGTAAGGGTGGGGGTCACAGCAGCCGCCTTCTTGCATGTAGGCCATACTCTCATCAAAGTGGGACAGAGGCACTGTATCCTCTTCATTGATGTGACGCTCCATGTCTGTCTTCAGAAGTGGGCGCTGGTTATCCGGGAAGGCCATGGAGAAAAGCGCCTCTGGATCGCAAACAAATTTGTAGACATATCTCTCTCCAGCCACCTGAAGATAACATGGGAGACAAACGCCCACCCCAACAGAGTTAGTTCGCCAGAATGGAGAGCCTGGACCACCTCTGATTCAGCAGGTCGGTCTGCCTGAGGCTCAGAGTGCCCTGGGTCCCACAGTTCCAAATGTCAGAGGTGAGATCTGAACACAGATCTGCCTGCTTACAGGTCCAGGATTCTAGTGTCCATACCTTGCAAGTTTGCACCAGGGGAAAAGAAAATCCTGGACAAGGAAATGAGCTGCTAAGCTATTTCCCATGGACAGGTATTGCCATGGATTGCCACATGCCTACAGGGCAAGGCTGAGATCCTGGGAAAATGAAATGCCTCAGAGAAGACCAGCCATGCTGGCCATGTGGATACGAGTACCAAAGGGTTTCTCATTGATAAAGCAGGAGTACTGTTCCCTCTGGTGACAGCAAATGTATTAAAAAAAAAAACGCAGGTCTGAAAACCTAAATAATAGACAAACATCCTGGGAGCTGTGTGTAGAAATTATGTTTGTGTGCGTGTGTGTGTGCATGTGTGTGTGTGTGTGTATGTGTATGTGTGTAACACAGGCACAGATGTTAATACTGCGTGACATCAGAGCCTCTTTTTTCCCTTGGATCTCCAGGGCTTAGCATAATGCCTAATGGAGCAGGCCTTTAGGCCTTTAACAAATGCCTGTTGACTTCACTCGACTTCCATGGGTACATGTTGTGTGCACCCATCCCCCTGTCTCCTCGAAACCCCACAGCTCCAAACAGCCTTCTAGAGCAATGGCTCATTTGGGCCTTTGATTGCCTGGCACAGACTAGCTCAGTGGATTAAGTGCTTGCTTGCTGATCGTAACTTGCTCAGGGTGACCTAGCCAGTCTAGGTCAGGGGAAGGTCTTTTTGATTGCAGGTCTTGGCCTTTAAGCACCAAGCCAAGATGCCCCTTAGCCTACCATGACCTGGTTTAAAAAGGAACATACAAAGATCTTTTTTAATAGCAATCCAATGCCTTCACTAGTATTTATACCACTAGTCCACATGAAATACTTCCTGAAAGTGGCCATTCCCATAGCTCCCTCCAGTTAAGAGGACCTATTTCAGGATGTGAGCCCCAAGCTCATAAAAACAAGAGGCAAGAAACCAAGGTGCATAGGAGAGTTTTCCAAAGAATCTTTGTCAATACCAGGAAGAAAAGAACAGAGCACCAGTGATGCCCCAGCAGCCTGGATTCCCCCTTCTCTTCTCCCCAGAGTGTTTCAGAGGCCCTCGGTGATGGGGACAAGCCAATAAGAACTCACTGAAAACTCAATGCCACCCATCAACGGAGAAAGTTTCCTCTCAGAGCTGCAGAAAGCCTGCATCTCGGGGATGTGAACATACACTGGGCTGCAGCAGACCTGAGACTATAAATAGACAGGCTTATAATTTTTAAATCTAAGAGCTAAGCATTTGTCAAAATTTGCAAAAGCCTCACTTCAGCCAGAGCGCAACATGCAGTGTTTCAGGCCTGACTTGCATATCAAGGGGCACCTTTCGGGGGCTCTTCTGGATGCACGGCGTCACTCACCTTCTGCATGATGCCCTTCTCATAGTAATAGCGGAGAGAGCGGCTCAGCTTGTCATAGTTCATCGCCGGTCTGTTTTTCTGAATGCCCCAGCGCCGGGCCACCTGCCACAGAAAGAGAAGAACCCGCAGAGAAATGTGTATCATGAGCCGCCTCCAAAGAGCTCTGCTTACACTCAGAGACCACTTCACAAAGCACTTTGTGGAATGCTAAAAACGGACATGGACGGGTTTATTTTTCATCATTAATTGGCTTTACTACCATTGCCACTTTATCATGTTTTGATGGGTATCAGTTTTTATCATGTAGGTAGCTTTGCAGTTTGCAAGGGTTCTGCATAGAAATAACATACACTGGAGAGTTTGCAAGATGCTTCACCTACAGGGTCATAGCAGAGCCCTGGAAGAGCTCCCGAGGTTGAGACCAGAGAGGAAATGATATGTCAGGGGCAGGACTTGAACTCCTGTCCTCTTGCCTTTAAGGTCTCAGTTGATCCTTCCAACAATGTTGCTGAGCAAATGTTAGTGTGTTCATTTGGATGAGAAGGAAGTTCTGCCCAGAGACTGACGCCATATTTTCCAAAGTCACACAACTAAGGTAGAGCCCCCCTAGGAATCCACTAATCAGACTTGCGGGACCTCAAGGGCTCATGCTTGTCACTTACCATGCCCCCATCCCAGCAGCCACCATCCCGTTTTGCCAAGGAAGAAAGAGGTTCCAAAACAAAGGGCAGTGTGACCTGGATTTCCTGGGGTCTGGTGTGTTCTTTAAACCAGGCATGCAGCCACCTCTCTGGGACTTTTCAATAGGGCCCTTTGTCAAGATGTTTTGGGTACAAGATTTAATGGAAATAAGAGAAGGCTTTTACAAAGGGAACAAACAGTCTGTGATGGAGGAGAAGCCCACATGCTTTCCCCCTGCTCCTTGGGGAGGTGTTTGCTTTTCCTCCAATTCAATTACGGAAAGCATTTATTAAGGCCCTATGCTGGGTCCTAAGAACACAAGACAGCCACAAAACAACAACGCCTGACCTCTAAGAGCTTCTGTTTTTCCAGGAGGGGGTACAACATGTACCTAATTAAAGACAAAATAGACAACAGAGGAATGCACTCTAAGGCTAGGAAAAGCTCCTGTTAATTACTGATGAGATTAAGACAGTCCTTAGCAGAAGGTGGCACCTAGGTGGGGCTCCCAAGGAACCTGGGAAAGCTGCAAGCTGGAGGTGAATAAAAGAACATCAGTGAGGGGAGGACCCCATGTGCAGAAGTACAGAGCCAGGAGACAGGAGAGTTAATGGGTCACTTTCAGGAGAGAGAGAGAGAGAGAGAGAGAGAGAGAGAGAGAGAGAGAGAAAGAGAGCACATGGAGGACGGAGGGACAACATGAGACAAGCCTGGGAAAGTGGGGGGCGGAGATCGTGGAGGGATTTCTTTCTTTTGATAGTGTCTAAGGTCTAACCTTTGCCATGCCCTCTAAGGATGTCTCCCCCATCTACTTTGCCTTGAATGTCCTAATTCATATCAGCTGTCTCATTCTTTAACCTATAAGTTCCTGGAGGGCAGGGTCTCAGAGCACCAGAGCTGGAGTCAGAGAGAACTGAGTTAAAATCCTGCCTCAGTTACTTACTATTTGTGTAACCCAGGGCATAGCACTTAAACTATTTGCCTCAGATTCTTCACCTATAAAATGGGGTTAACAATAGCACCTACCTCCCAGGATTGTTGTGAGGGCAAAATGAGATAACATTTGAAAGTACTTCATGAACCATTATTATATAAATGCTATCGATTATTATAAATTATATGAGAACGTATATAAATTATATATATATAAATTATTATATGAATGCTAGTGATTATCATCATCGTTGTTGTTGTTAGTAAATACAAGATATTCAGTAGAGCTGTGAGGCAGGGGCTTTTAACCTTTTTGTGTGTCATTGGTCCCTTTGGAAGTCTTGTGATGCCTACAAACCCCTCTTCAGAATGATGGCTTTAAATGCATAAAATTAAATGCACAGGATTACAGAGGAAACCACTTCTACTGCTATTTGGTTATCCAACTGTATTTTTAAACAGTTCACGGACCCCAGATGCAGGATTCCTGGGCTAAGGCTCCCCATTGGAGGTGGCACCCACATTCAACAAGAAGTTGCTGACAACAGTATTTGTTTTACAAATCAGAGAAAATAGTCTGTTTCTCTCCCTGTTATTATTTGCACATTTCCCAATGACTTTTTTATTGCTTGCTTAGATACTTTGTCTCTTATCAATGTATCTTTCCCCACTAAAGGAACAATGGGGTTTGGAACATACAAAACTGTAACTTTCCTCAACAGAGGCAGGTTACAATGTAGCAAAGGGGACAATCTATTTCCAGGAGGAATGTTCCTGCAGGAGGCCCACTGTAATGTCACGGAAAAAATTAAAGAGGGTCTTCTGTTTCATGTTGACTTTTTCAGCACTAGAAGAACAGGGATGATGATAACCACGTGGCAATTTTCCCCCTAAATAAAACGTTATTCAACCATCCCCAATCATGGGCCCCTAGTACATGGTTAAGCCGCCAGCAGCTAACACACAGGCAAGCTGGGTGTGGAAGGAAGAAAAATATTAATAGCTCTTTAAATTAAGTAGCGATTTGGAATAAAATATTTCTGCTAAATGCTTCTTTTTGAGGCTGCCAATGGGAAGCTTCTGTAATAGGAAATGTTTGCCCAAAAAGCCAACACCCAGACTGGGGCAGACCCTGAGGGAGATGAGAGGAACCCTTTGCCAAAGAACAGAGACCCCAAATGGGTGACCTGGGATGCCAGTCAATGTACAGTCCTGATGCAATCTGGCATCTAATAGAGATGTAACTATCCTGGGATTAAGCAGCGATAGCAGTGGCCACGGCTGCATTGATCAAAGGAAAATAAGGGTGTGTGTGTGTGTGTGTGTGTGTGTGTGTGTGTGTGTTTGAGTGGGGGTACACATTCATGTGAATGTCTTTTATATCCTGCATTACGGGGCTAAAGGAAAACATTTATTTCAGTTTAATCGACATTTATTAAGGGACTTCACCACACACAGTTCTAGGTTCAGCACTGGGGCTACAAAGATATGAAAAGGACATTTTGACCTCAAGGAGCCTGCATTCTGCTGGGGAGGGGTGGACAGCCATGGACACAGATAGATGTAATACATGGGGGGGGGGAAGAAGAGATACAGGCCAAGAGAGAACTTCCGAGTCGGAGGGAGCTCAGAATGATCTTGTCCAACACTGAGCTGCCTGAGAATCCCCTCTGGAGAACCCCCAACAAATCACATTCCAGCTGTCCTTAAAGTGCCCCTCCTTAAAAAAAAAAAAAGCCATCCGCTGCCTCCTTACACCCTGGGACAGCTCTCACTCTCCGGAAGTTTTTGTTTTTGTCTTTACATTTTCCATACATTAAGCCTAAAGCTGTCGGTGAAATGTCTATCCTTCCTTCTGGGGTTAAATGGAGCAAGGACAATACTTCTTTCCTGATCTCATTTGATCCTTACAACACCCCTTTAAGGTAGGCAGGGCAGGCATCACTGCCCCATTTCACAGATGACAAAGACGAGGAAGAGGGAGTTCAAATAGATTGTCCAACATCACAGGGCCAGCAAACGGCAGAGCTGCGATGGAAGTGGAAGCTGTCTGATTGCACACGGTGCGTAGTTTGTGGTCCACAACAAAATCAGTCTGCTGTAGACAGCCATGGGGAGGGACTAGCTTGCCTTGCCGCCTGGAGAGAGCCGACAGAGTCACCAGGCAAATCATACATCACCAAAACATGCCCCAAAGCCTGCAGGAATCACTGGCGTGCTGGGGCACCAACATGGACCCATGCCTGCCTCAAGCCAAAGGGTGACAGAATGGGTGGGGTGTCTACATTTCTCTGTGACCATATGCCTGGTATTGACAAAGCCAACTTGGAGCTTCACAGAGGCGCTGTGCTCCAATCCCTTCCCTCTTGATTGCCAGCCTTCTTCAAACAATCATGAAGCCCACTGTAAACAAGAGCCTGAGAGAACTGGGGAGCGGCAGGATGTCCATGTCACGGCCTCTAACCTCGTGCGGATTTGACCTGAGGTGGATGGAACAGACGTATGCCCAAGGAATAATTCAGCACACCCCAGTAGCCAGCCAGGTGGCGAGGGGCATGAGTGAAGAGGGCAAACAGCATCACACAAAAGGTGGGATTTGAGGTGGACCCATAGGATAGGAAGGTTTTTACTAGGTGGAGACAGTGCAAAGGGGAGAGAGAATCCTAGGAGTGAAGTGCAAAGTGAGCTTGGGAGACAAAGGGACTCCTTTGGCTGGAGAAAAGGATTTCCTTAAGTGAGCTCCTGCTGGCTGAGATGGAATGAGGAGAAGAGGGCTGTCCTACTTGTGGAGCTGACCACTTGCCTGCAAACCTCTGCAGCTGCAGGACCTTCAAGGGAGAGCTGGAAGCCCTCACTTCACTGACAAGCAAACTGAGGTTTCTGGCAAAATGGGTAAGCCTCATCTTAGCAAGTATTGGGGATTCAAAACAAAGAGTCATAAAACTTCTGAGCCAGAAAGACCTCCCATGAATCTAGCCCAAACTATTGTGCCCTCGGACATCCCTGACCTCGGGTCCTCTAGCCTGGGCTTTAACCTCCAATGAGAGTAAGCCACCTCCTGTCCAGTCCTGGTGGAGCTCAACAGCAAAGCTAATGGACAAAGCCCGAGGGCCCCTGGGCTGCTCTGGGGCCTGGTGAGCACCAAGACCTTTCACTCCTGGGGAATGAGAGACAATGGGTTACAGAGGTGTCAACTTTGAGACTCTATGGCTTCGTTAGTAAGGGGCCTGGTCCTCAGTGTAGACTGCAAATCTCCCCATGACTTGGTAGCCCATCTCAAAGAGCCGCTGAGGAATGGCTAAGGTGATGGTAACAAGCAATTATCAAGCGCCTACTGTGTGCTAGTAGTGAGCCAAATGGCTCAGTGGATAGAGAAAGTGCTGAACCTGGAGTCAGCAGACCTAAGCTCAAATCCAGCCTCAGACAATCACTAGCTGCGTGACCCTGGGCAAGTTATTTAATTTCTGTTTGCCTTAATCCATTGGAGAAGAAAACAGCAAACCACTCCAGTATCTTTGCCAAGAAAACCCCATATGGGATCACGAAAAGTCAATACAACTAAACAATTAATATGCCAGGCACTGTGTTAAACACTTCACAAATATGTTATCAGATTCTCACCACCTGGGTTCAAGTCTGCCCTCCTGCTCACTAGCCAGGTGACTCTAATAAGGCCCAAACTTCTGTGCATTTGCTCACCCTTAAAATGAGGGTGTGGTCTGGATCTGGAACGGATGTTAGGGGCCATACAAACTCCTGATAGACACAGGAGGAGGCTGAGGCCCAGAGAGGCCCCAGGCCCCTGTGCCGGGAGCTGGAAGGGGCAGCACATTTTGTAGCTGAGGACACGAAGTTCAGGGAGGAGAGCTCACTTGCCCAGCATCACAAGGGCAGCAAGCAGAAGTTCTGCCAAGTTCTCTCCACTCTCCACTTCCTGTGTCCCTCATTGTGGGGATGTTTTGGGGCTCGGGAAGCGTCATCTGAGAAAGGGCACAGTGTCCTAGGAGGCCCTGATGTGACCTCTTGGGGGTCAAGGTCACCTGTCACTAATCCATGCTGACTGTTCCCACTTGGAAGCCATCCTGGTCACCCTTCTTCAGTATGGCATTCCTCTCTGCACTAGAGACTAGTGGGCAACATCTATGAATACAGACCGCCCAACTTGGCCCACTAGTCCTGCCTGATGCCTTCATGGCCATTAACCCCCTGGGTTCTCTGGCTGACCAACATGGTGTTCAATGCCACGTCCACTGGGCTGACATTGGGGTTGTCTCTCCGTGGAGCAATGAAAAGAGGAGGGGCAGAGAGGACGTTCACAGAACTCTGAATCCCATCTGTGCCACTGGTTACTATTCGGTCCTTGGAAACCCTGGGGACTGTCCAGTGAGGGTGAAGGGCTGGGAGACCTCTAACATCCCCTCCAGTCAAAGCACTGTGGTCCTGGCACCCCAGATTACAGATGCTGGTCTGCAGGGCCTCAAACACCACACAGCAGGAGCAAGGAAGGCTTGCATTTTCCAAGCTTCTGCTGCCTTGGACCCTGAGAGGAATGCTGGCTCACATGCCTGGGAGGCAACTCGGGCTCTCCCTCTGCACCTTCGGGGAATCCAAAGGGAAGCCTTCTGAATCATCCTGGAGAAAACACCGACTCTACTAAGACTGTACAAAGTTCACATGACATCTGCTCGACTCATCAGGGCCAGGCCAGGCTGCCCCTAGAAACCAATGGATCCTGAAAAGCCGACGATGCTCCAGCAAGACTCAAAATAGAAAAGGTCCTTGTTTAAGCAAGTTCTAGACTTCATTACAGAAGGCTATCCTGTGGCTCATCTCAAAGAGTTCACCCAAATCACCCCAGTCCTCCCTGGTCCTGATTGCTTCCCTCTCAGCACCCGTCACCTTCGCTTCTCATTGAACATGGAACGCAACTGAGAACTACAAGAAAAATCATCCATTTCTATGAACTGCTTTGGCGAGATGAGGGCCGCGTCTTCACTTGAGAAATATGATACAAGACCAAATGCCCACGTCCCATTTGTCAGACAGCAGCATGGAAACTGGTGTTCTACATACGTGACTTTGCTAGATAACTGGACACCAGAATGTGTATTCTAATAGCAAATGGTCTCGTATAGAGAACACGAATGGGGCATTAGCAGGTGTTCCGTTATTATTTTTAGCAAGTAGAGCCACAGCTCTTCCTCTCTCTCTATACACATGTATATGTGTATATCTGTACATATACACATGGGCAGCTGGGGGCGCAGGGCATAGAGCACCAGGCCTGGAGTCAGGAAGACTTGAGTTCAAATCTGGCCTCAGGCGCTTGCTAGCTCTGTGACCCTGGGCCAGTCACTTAACTCTGTTTGCCTCAGTTTCCTCATCTGTAAAATGAGCTGGAGAAGGAAATGGCCAACCCCTCCAGTGTCTTTGCCAAGAAAACCCCAAAGGGGGTCACAAAGAGTGGGACACAGCTGAAATTTCTGAACAACAGCAACACATATATACACATACATGCACACACATATAAACACACGAACACATGTATTTGTATTATAATGTTTTGATCAATTTTTCCCCTAAGACAAGGTATGACTTCCTTAAAAAAAAAAAACAGATTAGACATCATGGATGATTTTGGAAGATAATGTGGGGTCCATCTAGTGAAGCTATAACATCATGCATATTGTACAAAGATATCTGTCCACATCCACATCACCTATCACACTCCTTCCCCAGAGCTTTGGTGCCTCAGGGTTCAGCTCTTTCTACTTAGTTGTTTTGTTCTGAATTCTTTCTCATGGTCATGCCAGATTCTGCTCCCAGCTCTGAAGCACCTGCCTCTGGCTACCTCTGCTCCTCCCCCACAGCCTTTGGCCATCTGCTCATATCGGTATCTGGTACACGGTGGGTGATTAATAAATGCTTACTTAGTGGCCTGCAAGCTTCAATTGAGTCAGGAGGTAGTCATGACAGCCGAAAGAGTGAGTGCATTAAGTGAGGCCCAGATGGCTTCCAGGCACAGAGACATGACGGTACTACTCTCTCTGGTCCAGGCAGGCCACAGCTGGAGCCTTGTGCTCGGTTCTGGACACCTTATATTGAAAAGGACATGGATGACTACAGCCAGGGGAGATAATCAAAGCATCAAAGTGGTGAAGAGGCCAAAGTCCATGAGTTAGTGGCACCTGGTTGAAGGAACTGGGCGTGTTGGAGAAAAAAGGAGTTTGGGGCCATGAGAGCTACCTCTGGTGGTGGGTGGGCTGTCACATGCAGGCGGGGCTAAACCTCATCTTGGGCAGAAGTGACAGAAAACAAATCTAGGCTTGATGGCAAGAGACACCTTTCCAAGAGCATCAGTACTGGCTCAAGGTGGAGGGAGCTTTGAGGAGAAGGGTAGGTTCCAGCCACGAGGCCTGCAGACGAGCCCTTGTCATTGGACATGTCATGCTGGAGATTCCTTGGAGTAAAGTGAGGACTAAACAGTCCCTGAGGTCTGTCCTTCCTTCACCCTCCTGCCTCTCTCCTTCCCTTCCTCCCTCCTTCCTTTACCCCCTACTTGTCTCCCTTCCTTCCTCCCTCCCTCCTTTCCTTTCTTTCCTTCCTCCCTCCCTTCCTTCCTTCTGCTCTCCCTTCCTTTACTCCTTTCCTTCTTTTCTTCACTCCTTCTTTCTTTCCTTCCTCCATTTCTTTTCTCCTTCCCTCCCTCTCTTCCTTCCTGCCAGCTCTCAAAGGCTCTGCTCCTCATTTCTCACTCCTGTGAGCCAACTTGTAGTTCACTAACCTTTTCTGAACCACTCCAAAGGTAAATCTGAGGGACTAATAAATCAGTGCAGATCCCAGACAGCAGATAACAAAACACTCTTCCCCGCTCTCAGATATTTGCCCAGCCCTAAAAGAATCCTTGGAAATGCTTCTGTGAAGAAGGAGAAATCCAGTGGTCTGCAATATAGTCAGTGACCGTTGTCCTCCCCCCAACCCTCCCAGAAAGCATTAGCTTTAGACTTTTCAAACCACTGGTTGCCCCAGTGACGTCTGTGCCTGATCTCAGCTGTGGCCCTCTTTATAAAGAGAGCAAAAATGTGATGAACCCTAGAGGAAAACTGCTTTGCGAAGTCTGCTGGTACCTGTTACTTCAGATGGAAAGGTTTATTTCTAGCCTGGCCATACAGACCTGGAATTGATTTCTGTGATTTGGCTTCTATGTGATTTGGTAAGCAAAAAGCTTTAGTTAAAAATGGGTGGCCTCACAAACGGGTGAGCTGCTACCAGAGCACTCTCTGCCTCATCTGATTTTCATGTTTTCCCTGGGCACCAGGGCAGCATACCAGCTCACCAGGGGCCAACGCCCAGCCGGTCGGGCCACAAGCACTCAGAGCCCAACTGAGGAGACAAAGAAGTCTGGCACTGACAAAAAACTAGGAAGGAAGCTTGCAGATTCAGGGTCAGCTGCCACCTTCAGTAGCCAGGGGCCAACACCCCGTCAACATCTGCCTCCCCAATGTGATGGAGGAAAATGGACCACGTGCTTCTGCCTCTGTGGATTGTCTCTCCTCCCCTTGTCCCTGCCCCCTCTTAGCCCCTTCCTCTGGGCACAGAGGAACCCAAATCCATTGTTGCTAGAAAGAAAATGGCAGCTAAATACCCTAGGGATCCACTCAGCATCCCTGGGACCCATCTTCCCTGATTACACTCTCTTCTGTGTCATCTCTGCCCTGGTACGTAAACCCTGGAGGAGAGGGGCTCTCTTACCCACACCTAACACAAATTCTATGGCATTCATTTGTGTCTTTGCCACTTCATGACACAGAGTCACCCAATGAGCACTGAAAAAAATAACAACAACAAGCCTTTCTCACTGCCTTCAATAAAGCCCATTGACTCCCTCCCCGCCCCCAAACAAGAACCCCTCACTTATTAATTAGAGTGTTTCAAAACTCACCTCTTCGGGCTCAATCAGTTTAAACTCCATGCCACGGCCAGTCCAAGCAATGAAGTGGGAATTTGAGGGGTCATCGAGGAGGGCCACCAAGAACTGCCACAGCTGCAAGGACCCCCGCCGCTGGTAAGTGGGGCCTTCGCGGTACATCCCTGGCTCTTGTTTGATGTCTCCTGATACCGAACCAAACAAAAACAAGCCTCGGTAAGCAAGAATCAGGAAGGAGGAAAATGGCCCCGTCATTACTTGTGGGCATCTGAACAGCCTTGGATTGGTGGGCAGGAAGAAGCGGGGTCTCCAAGCAGCGGGAGAAGCTGTGACGGGGATGTTCTGCTCAGAAATAGCATCATCCAGGCATGAGTACAGATGCCCTCTGCAGGGTGGGCTCTAGGAGGTGGCCTGGAACACTAGGGGAAGAGAGCAACGCCTTTTTAATATCACACTTCACGGCTCTAGGGATCCACAATGTCATCAGTGTGGCTTCCCTCTACCAGACAAGATCAATCAGTCAGTCAATTAGTCAGTGAGCATTTATTCATTGCCTACTATGTATGTGCCAAGCACTATGCAAAACACTGGCTTAAAAGATCACAAATGGCTGAGCTGATAGTCTGGCAGCTCACTGCGACTCAAAATGTCATCCCCTCAAGGCTACAGCATGGTGATGAACAGCTCCACACTTGGCCAGCCAGGTCTACAGACACAATCCTCTGTACCGTCTATACTCGCAGCTTTCTAAGCCTGCTAACACTGGTAGACCTTTGCCTTGGAGAGCCTCCCCAAGCGTCCAACCGCTACCACCTCCCCCTGCCAGACTCAATCAGTCACTCACTCAATAAATCAATAAACTTTCATGAAACTCATACTATGTGCCTGACACCGTGCTGGGCACTTACGGTGTATCTGACAAATGTCTGAATGTTCTAAACTGTGTGTGTGTGTGTGTATGTGTGTGTGTGTGAGATGGGCTCCTTTGGCAGCAGGATGAAGGGTATAGACCTTTTCTCCAAAAAATATTTTAAATATATAAAATAAAATGCATAGGATTGCAAAGGAAATCAATTATATTAAATATAGTTATATATGTATATATACATACACATTTATGTATATATGTACATACAGAATATAAACATATGCATATATATTTGTTTGTTTTTCAAAGTAGTTTAAGAAATTCTGGTCCATAGAGTGACTATATCCTGAACTTCAGGCCCCATGAGTTAAGAGGACAATGTAGAACTAGCAAGAACCATAAATAGTGGTCAAGAATTCAAGGCAAGGGATGTGGTCATTCTTGCCAAGCTCTTCCACGTCCAGAGCCCACCTGGAGAGTGCTCTTCAGGTTTGAAAGCATATTTAGGAAGGACATTGATCAGCTGGAGAACTTCCAGGGGAAGGCAAGCAGTGCTTAGGAAGAGCCTCCAGGCTACACCTCACAGAGGCTGGTGCCAAGGAACGGGAATGTTTAGCCAAAAGGAAAGAAGATGAAGGAAGCCTGACTGTGATCTTCTATTATCTAAAGAGCTGAAATACAGGAGAGAAACCAGACTGGTTCTGCCTGGCCTCTGACACCAGACATAGGGGCACCGATGGAAGTTACAAAGAAGCAAATTTAGGCTTGATCTAAGGGAGAAAACCTCCCTCTACCTAACACAGAGAGCCATCAAAAAGTAGGATACACTGTCTCAGGAGGGCAGAGATTCCCCTGTTGCAGAGCACAGCGTGGAGGTGCTTATTTTTGACGTATGGTTGGACTGCACTGCCTTCTGCTACTCTGAGATTCACTGATTCTGAATGACGTTTGTGTGTGTGTGTGTGTGTGTGTGTGTGTGTGTGTGTGTGTGTGTGTGTGTACACTCATGCTACCTCCTGGCTCCCTCTGGGTCTCGTGCTGGCATCTCAGTTGATTCTTTGCCAAGTGTTGCCCCCAACCTGTCTGACAGCCTCACTGCAAAGGGGCAAGGTGGAGAGAGAGAGGAGGAGGAGGAAGAAGAAGAAGAAGAAGAAGAAGAAGAAGAAGAGAAGAAGAAGAAGAAGAAGAAGAAGAAGAAGAAGAAGAAGAAGAAGAAGAAAAGAAGAAGAAGAAGAAGGAGAACAGAAGAGAAAGAGAAAGAGAGAGATGCTGCAAGCTTGGCGATGGTATTTATCCCCAAGTGTCACCCCGGATGCCATCTGGGATTTCTTCACTGACTAATACAAGACATGACACATGGCAGGGACTTTTCTTATGCAGATGTTCAGGAGGCAAATTTGAGCAGGAGCTAGACTTTCAGTCAAATCACATGGGTTAATGCATAGTACACAAATCCTGTGGGTATAAGAGTCCCTTGAGGATGTCATGAATTACCATACACAGGAGATTATTATCCATTTCTACCCTTTTGCTTCAGTGACCATTTTCTCAATAGGTGGCAAATGACATTTCTCATTTAAAAAATGTTATGCTATACTTTCATCACCAAATTTGTTATGATTCCTTTTCAAAGCATGCAGTCCCCAAATACTCATGCTATTCACAATTTGCATTCAATTGTGTTTATGTGACCCCCTGAAGGAATTATTGAAAGATGGGAATAAGGATCTAAGGATCAATGAGAAGGTTTGAGTGAATCAAGATCTGAACTAGAGGAGGAAGGACAGAGCAGGCATTAGCAGCTACCAGGACGTACATCGGGCTATTTGTAAAAACAAATTAACAGTAATAAAAAAGCACTTGCTGCCCCCAACTCATCACGGCCCTGCCTCCTGAAGCCACTGTAATCAGCTAATCAGAGGGCCCTTGCTTGCCTCCTGTTGTTTGCCAATCAAGTAAAAACACGAAGGCCTCTCCAGAGAAATGTACTGTTCCTTGACTGGCCCTCCTGTGTCCCAGCTCACTCAGAGACTCTGACTGCTGGCAGAGCCATGGTGGCCCTGCCAGGATAGGCCTGAGAGCCAGGGCTCCTTGGGAGAGAATGCCTGCCCAACACCACTCAGAGACACGCTAGCAGATCACAGTTCCCCAGGCCCCCCCAAACCCCAGAAAAGTGAATCTTCCTCTTGTATGCTCCATAGCTCATCTTTCCAGGGACATGCAAGAGCTTAGGAGAATTCTTCAGTCCCCATTAATACCAGAAGAGCAAGCTTTCAGTCTGGCCTTCTTAATTATGGGATCAGCTTCCAATAAATCTCAAATAACCAGCTGGATACAGCTATTAGGGGCACTTGTACCCAGCTCCCTGCCCACCACAACAGGCCAGCAAGACCTTTCCTCTCCTGTCACAGATTCAGGTGTGGACCCATGAGCTAATTATACAGATCAGAGCTTCCATCTGGGGGCTTGCAGGAGAGGATTGCGTTGGAATTCCTGAAGGTAAGTGATGGGGGGTACAGGGCAAAGGTTACATTTGGAATCCACCTCTCCTTCTCCCATTAGCCACGGATGTATTCCTCCCCAAATGTCTAGCCTTTCTTTGGTGTATGGTTTTGTAAACACTTATATAATCACAATTGGCATTCATATCTGTCTTTAAGGTTTGCAAAGTGCTTCACAGCAGCCCCATGAAGTAGGTCCTATGATCATCCCCATTTTATAGTTTAGGAAACTGAGGCAAACAGGGTAAAGTGTCTTGACCAGGGTCACACAGCTAATAAGTATCCAAGGTCAGATTTGAAATCAGGTCTTCCTGACCCCAGGTCCAGGGCCCTATCCACTGTTCCCCACTCCAGTGGCCTTCAGAGCTGCATATGCTGTTTCCCTTGCTAGAACGTAAGCCCCTTGTGAGCAGTGGGTCTTCCATTTTTGTTTCTGCATCTCCAGCAGCTGGGAACAACAGGCCTTGAATGAATGCTTGTTGAAGGATTACTGGACTGCTATTGTCCCCATGCCCCTTCTCCAGAAGGCAAAAGTGAAAAACATACCATCAAACTTCTCTGGGACCACACAGGTGTCATCGTAAAACTGCCTGGGGCCCTTTTCAAACATGCAACCTGCAGGAGAAAAAGGAGATAGGTGAAGGACTCAGGAAGGAAGGGCTTTCATGAACAACTTTCAAAGGCAAGGCATGGCTGCCATGTTGTCTGTGCATCCCCAGCACTACATGGTGGAGGTCCTTGATAAAGGCCTTGATGAAAGGGCATCAAACCCATCCCAGCTCTGGCACTTCACACCTGTGAGGCCCAGGCCAGGGCCTCTTTCCTCACTGGCATATTGCCAGGTTGGGCAGGGTTGGGCCTCCAAGGGGCTTTCCACCACGGCCTCAATGACCATCCCCCCATCATCACATTATTAACTCATTCAATCAATCAACAACTATTTACTGAGGACCTGCTCTTATTAAGCTTCTATTCGGGTGACATAACAATAACAACAACAACAACAGCAATAATAATAACAAGTAGCTAGGGCTTTAAGGATTATAAAGCACTTTACACATACCATCTCACTTGATGTGTACAGTTAAGGTAAAGCCAGAATCTGCTTGAGAAACCTGTGCCTGGGTTTAGAAATAAGTAAATCTCTCCAGAGATGGCCCTGATGCCTAAAGGAAAGGTCCCTAGAAAACCCAGGCCTGGGACAACCTGATCCATGGGCCTGTCCATTTGGGATCATAGACTTAGAGCAGGACAAGACCTTGAAGGCCAAGGAATACACACCTCTCATTTGTCAGATGCAGAAACTGCGGGTCAGGGTCATTCAGTGACTAACCCAGGGTAAGCCAGTGGCAGAGTCTGGATGAGAACTTGGGGGCTGACTCCCTGGCCCAGTGTCCACCCTCTCTGCCATGCATGGATAGAAAAGAAAGCACTTTCCTCGCTTCCTTTGCAGATGAGATCCCTATAGGAGTTTCAGACACCCACTGGAAGCACCTTCCCCAGTGGCACCACAGGGAGAATTTAATAAGGGCCCAGGCACACAGAGGTCATCTACTTCACCCCCTCTTGTTTTACAGATGAGGATGTGAAGCAACCTGTCCAAGGTCACAAAAGCATTGAGGGTCAGGGCTTCTGGCTTCAAGTTTAATGCTCTTTCTACCATATCAGACAGAAAAAACTGAGAGAGAGAAAGACAGAGAGCGACAGAGAAAGAGAGAGAGACAGAAAGAGAAAGACAGAGACAGAGTCAGAGAGACAGAGAGAGACAGAGACAGAGAGAGACAGAGGGACAGAGAGAGAAAGACAGAGACAGAGAGAGACAGAGACAGAGAGACAGAGAGACAGAGAGATAGAGAGACAGAGAGAGACAGAGACAGAGAGTGAGAGAGAGAGAGAGAGACAGAGAAAAAGACAGAGAGACAGAGAGAGACAGAGACAGAGAGAGGGAGAAGAGAGGAGAGGGGAGGGGAGGTGGGGAAAGGAGAGGGAAGAGGAGGAGAGGGGATAGGAGGGGAGGGGAGGAGAAAACTTGTATATGTCAATCCACGTCAATGTCTTGGGGGAAAGCAATGGCTGGGAATTGCCAGGGAAGATTCCTTTAAAAGAGATCTGGATGGGCAGAGGGTCAGGTGTGCCTACCACTCACTCACCATGCCTTCAAAGAATGTGGATGTTGGCAGGGCCAAAGGCCAAACATGGTGGTGGACCCAGACCAGCCCTGCAACACCACCAGCAATACCAGAGCCCAAATTTAAAATGCCCATTCAACTATCCAAGGTCCAGCTGAGAACTACTTTTATTTTAAAGCAGGTCCATGGGTGAGGTCCCCTCATCCTGGAGCCATTCTTGGAGAATGGAGGAAATGCTCTATGTTCTCCTGGGGGCTGGAGGCGGGGCCAGAGAATGAGCAGACTCACCCTCTGTTCTGTTGGGGTGCACCAGGAAGCCCTCTTGCCGCATATAAATGGAGTGGCAGCTAGGCACTTCTGAAAGGGAACACAGCATTAGTCAGAGGGCACCGAAAGGCAGCGGGCACTAGCTTAGCCACAACTGTAGATGGAGGAGCAACAGTGAGCAATGTAATTGATTCTCCGTTCATCCATCATGATCATCACAAACACACCCAAGGCGCGGGAGGCACCTTGAGTGGGAGGAACGCCGAGCTTCTACAAGAGATGTGGAACGCCAAGCGCTCATCACAGAGCAACCATACTACTGGCCAGTTCCCACGACCACCCAGCTCCGACGATGGCGGCTTTATGGTACAACAGTGGCTCTGCGCTGTACAAGAGGAGAGCGAAGCATCAGCCCCTAACTACCCGGGCGCACCCCCATCCCAAAGACATCACCGAGCTGGATGCAGTAGGTGCCTAATAAATGCTTACTGATTGTAGTCGAGCCTCTTCATTTTACAGTTCTCATAGGAATGAGAGCTGGAAGGGACTTTGGTCATGATCTAGTCTGGGCCTGAAGGCCCACTTTATAGGTGAGGAAAGAGAAGCCTGAGGAGGTCGCAGTGGTGGAGCCAAGATGAGAGGCCAGCCCTCCCAACTCCTTGCACTGTCTTCTCTCTTAGACACCGTATTATCCTCTCATGGAATTTCCAACCCAAACACAATGGTAGGAAGGACAACTGAGCAGCAAGGCAGCAGTTAGCCTTAATGAAGTCAATTTAATCAGGAGGAGCCCTTTGATTAATGAGACTCCTCTATATGAATATATTGCACTGTCTTTGACATGTGGCTAAGCAAAGCCTTCCTGTGGCCCATGAGCCAAGTTACCTCACACCCACCACCACGGCAGGCATCTGCCAGGGTCGCAGTGAAATTGTTCCACATTTTTACTCATTCAGAAAGCATTTATTAGTTACCTGTGTTAAAGAATTTTTAGAGAGTAAAATTATTTGTTTTAGTTTTTTTTTTTTAATTTTTAGGCAATTGAGGCTAAGTGACTTGCCCAGGGTCACACAGCTAGTTAAGTGTCAAGTGTTTTGGTCTACGGCCATATTTGAATTCAGGTCCTCCTGACTTCAGGGCCCATGCTCTATCCATGGGCCACCTAGCTGCCCCGAGACTAAAATTCTATACCAATATATTAAATGATTGCCTTTCTTTTCAGCATAGTTCATGGAAAGAACATTGGATTGGCAGCTAGGAATGTCTGGTTCCACTCTGCCATTCACTCTCTGTGTGACTTTGGACAAATCACTAAACCTTTCTGAATTTCATCTGCCTCATCTATAACACAATGAGTTTGAATTCGATGGTCTTAGAGATACCCCCCAGGCATTAATTCCATATAAAAATGTTTACTCGCTTATCATATAGGCACCTCAGTTATGTTCAAGGAAATGTCATTGAGATAATTCTACCCTCTACTTCACTAACAACTCTTTAAGTAATCAAAGATGGAAGAACATAAATATTGCTATTAAAACATGAAAATGTATCCATTTCCAAAGGAGCTGCCTTGCCCCACTCCCAATGAGCCACATGGCTTCTCTCCAGGTCAAGAGCGATGAATTTGTACTTTTTAACAAGAGCTAAACATCCAGTATCAATCAGAATCTTGCTAAGAGAATTCATTCCAATTGACTGGTTCATTCCCAAATATCTCTATCTGGTTTTAAAAATCCTCCATTCTGAAGTCCACTCTGAATTTTTACTCCATTGATGGAGGTTCATAATAATATAAAAAACATGGACTAAACCTACAATTTCATAAGAAAATGTGACTCCCCAGTGAATAAAGTCTCTCTACCAATGTAGGATGGCATGCATTCTGTAAATGATAGACTGAGGGAGTTGGGTAAATGGCTTTCTCAAGGTCAAAAGGCAAGTCTATGTGGAAGGAAGGCGGGATTTGAACCCATGTCTTCCTGGCTCTGATGTCAGTTGTCTCTATACTCACTGTTGTCTCTTCTTCAAGAATTTGACTCATTTAATACAACTCATGCCCATTTCAGGACAGGATTTCAATATTTTTTTTTGTACACAGTTTGAAACCTTTGTCTCCCTGTTTTCAGCCTTGCAAATTGATAACATGGATTCTTCACAGAGAAACAACAAACAAGCAAAATAAAAATCCTCAAAATCAGCTTAGTGGACAAAAAATGGTGTCAGCCAATCCAAAGATAAGCTGAGCACCATCCTCCTCATGGGAAGTGGAACCTTCGGAAAAAGCTGCTTATGCCCAGATCTGGTGACCCTGTGGCTGCATCTCTCATGGCATGAGGGTGACAACATCCCTTCTGGCCACAGTCGCTGCTCCCTGGCATTCCTGGCACAACAGAATTACAGGGGATTTGATTCTCTTTTGAGTCCCCAAAGAGCTGAGGTCAGTGATCTCCCAAAGGCTGGATGGTGATGATCTCAGCGAGTTCCTGTGGCAAGGCCAAGAGGCCCCCTCTAAAGACTGGGCACAAGCAGCCTGAATGACTTTGTCATCTCTGCTGGCCTGCAATGGCTTCATTCTATTCATTATAACACGATGCAACAAAGATAATTATGCCAATCGCCACCCAGCTGGAGTGAGGCTGGCTAAACAGCTGCCCAATTCTCTTGTCCAGTTTAAGAAGGATGCAGGACGTGTCTCTCACTGCCTGGGAGGACAAAGACTTCATCCTTCCACAGAAGAAAGGAGAAATCTGTGCACCCTACCTAGTTTAACAGATTTGCTAGTTACTAAGACAAAACAAGGGAGCCCCTGCCCTCAGGACCCCAAAGGCTATTTACTGGGGGGTTTCGTACAGCCACAAAAAGTCAATGCAACAGGACTGGAGGAGGGTATTTGTGCTAACAACACGGCATTTCAGTGAAGTCTGCCAGGAGCAGGTGGCATCTGAGTTCAGCCTTCAAGAAAACCAGGGATTCTCAGAGATGGGGAGAACCCTCTGCAAAGACACAGAGGTGGGGAAGAAATGCTACATCTGAGAAACAGTGAATGAGTAATCTCCTCTAGAATGTAGAGTGAAGTGGAATGACAGGTTAATAAGCCTGGAAAGGCAGGCTGAAGGTATATTGTGAAGGACTTTAAATGCCAGTATGAGGAGTCTGTATTTGGTCCCAGAGGAACTAGGGAACCACTGAAAATCCTAGAGCCAAGCTGTGACACGGCCAGACTACACTTTAGAACTGTCACGTTGGCAGCCAGGTGGAGAACGAGTCGAACAGGGAAGGGGATGATGCAGGCAGTCCAAGGAGAAAACAACTGGAGTAGTCCAGATGAGAGGCGACCAAACTGGGGGAATAAGGGGGTGGGGTAGAAGAGAGCCATATCAGGCCTGGCACCCTTCCTGCTGATGGGGCTGTCCCTAGGATGTTCAGGGGGCCCACTGAGAATAAGTGAGCAGGTGAGTCAGAAGGGGATGAACGTGAGAGAAGCTTTGGAAGATTTCTGAGACACTAGACCTCATTGAGAAGCTCCATTTGAGAACCAGTATTATTTGAAAAGAGGTGGGCAGATGTCAAGAACACCAGAAGTCTGAGATCTGGGGCATGAAAAGATAAGTGTGCGTGTACATGTGTGTGTGTGTGTGTGTGTGTGTGTGTGTGTGTGTGTGTGTGTGTGTGTGTTTAAGCTGGACAGATGCCACATGGCTCAGTGAGATAGGGCAGATCAGCTCCTCCCAGTGCCTGGCATAAAGGACGGCCTTTCTAAATGCCTCTCACATGTTCAGGACACTGTTTGGAGTACATCTTGTCCTTTGTATTTCCTTGGAGAAACTTCAGTGATGCAGCCCTGGTGTTCAGCAATACCGAGAGCCTTAGTTACTGAAACACCAAAGAATCTCCCAGAACAATGGCTCTGCATCTCCTCCATTCAGGAGCTGTCTCCCACATTCCAGGTCCCTCAGGCCTGGGGGATGTGCACTTGCCAAAGGGATGGGCCACAGCTCAGGAGGAAAAGCATCCAGGAGGCCTTTTTTTTTTACATCAGGCTATCAGTCGTCAAGCATCTTAATCAATCAACAAGCTCGTATTAGAGCCTACTACGTGTTGGGCATTATGCTAAGAACTAGGGATACAAAGAGAGGCAAGAGATGGTCAGTGCTCTATGGCCCATCACTCTTCACCAGGAGCCTTCCCCTCTAAAGCTTACTCTGCTTCCCAGGTGGGATGTGGAGATATGTCTTCGAATTGCAGGTTCATCTACGCTAACAATCATTTCTCTCCCTAACTCAGACCTTTGAACCAGTCCAGAGACAACTGAAAAATAGACTGAAGGAGAGTTTATCTGCCATGAAGTAACTAGTCTTGTTATTCTAAAGTGTGATCAGTTAATTTATGACTCTCAGAGTGGGTCAGACTCTAATCAGATTGTAGAAACATTTCCAAAGTGATTATTCAATCAAATGACTAACATGGTTAATTAGGAGCCATAAACATTGCTCTGAAATTCATCAAAGTAATGACTTGCCCAGAAGAATTACGGCTAATTAAATTGCCTGCTGCTTTCAAGTCTACCTTATCGAATAAAAAATCCAGCCAATGAAATTTGGCCTGGCCGCTTGACGTTGGACCAAACGCTCAGCTATAACTTCTAAGTATTTTAACTGGTTCAGCAGCTGCTTCAAAAGCAAACCTTCCGTCACACGAGCTGAAGATCGGCATTTTCTTTTGATTAAATCACGGTAATACAAGAGATGGGCTTTGGGACAGCTAGGTTCCCAAGGCCTGGCTTGACATCTGAATTTCACTGCCTTTATTTCTTTTGTGTCCATGTGCAACCCCTCCCCCCACACATACCATGTAACAGCAGAGTTTTTAGGAAGACTAGTTTCTAATTTAAAAAAAAATGACAAGGGAGATGGCAACCTCAAACTAAGATTAATTAAATCCAGAATTAACTCATTGTTTTTTTCTTACTGAAGCTGTCCTCAAATGACAAATATCCCAATTTCTGTGGTCTCCCTTATTAGAAGGTAAGCTCCTTGAGCTAGGAAATGGACTGTCTTTGGTTCTGTATTTCTATGCCAGAACTTGGC